GAGACACCTGAAAATAATGGAAGTTACCACCAGCATGCCAGCAAGAAAAACAACTCACACATGACAAGTTTTTTCTGCTTACTTATCTCTTCTGACTATTTTTTTCTGGTTGGGGTGTCTGAAAGACCAAACTGACGCCCTGACAGGCTTCAAAATGCTTCTGAACCAGCCAGGCCTAAGTTTCGGTTATCAACAAGGTGCCAAGGCTGAGTTTAACTATGAATGTCCTAATCTTGCTCATCCCATAGCAACAGCCAATTAGCAAGTAGGCAAGTAACCAGTACAAATCAGGAAAATGCCAGATGTCCTAAGGTATGCCAGCCCAGTAGTGAAGGTCACATCTTACATGCATAGATCAACCAGGTTAAGACAGGATAACTTTGTTCAATGTCCACCAGTCAATGTACTGCTGAGCATAAACTCCCCTCTGCTGGGCTGAAACTCCCTTCTTCAGTAATAAAAAACCCTGCCTTCCCTGAGCTCGGGGCTCTCAACTCAGGGCTCTCAACTTCGGAGGCTGCCTTGGTGCAGGTTGGGAGCCCAGGCTCCAGCTTCCAATAAAGACTCTCATGTGCTTTGCATCAGAATTGGTTTCATGGTGGTCTTTGGGAAACTCAAAACCTGGCACAACCGTGTCCATTTTTTTCCCTATCCATTACAGAATGCCTTATGTATTCTGGAATTGTTACTGAATGCACAGAGTTCAATAGACAAGCTGCTCTAGTTCTGTTCTTGTACCCAAATGTTTTTAGGCCTTAAGAGAAAAGGTAGTTAAATGCTAAATTGTTTTTCCAATGTGTTGTACCAATTTGCATGAAGTTTCTATTGCTATCCATCCTTGTAAAAGTCTAGTGAGTATGATATCTCATCATGGGTTTAACTTGCAATTGCTAATACTAATGAAGCTGAGTTGCTTTTTACAAATGTATTAACTATTATTGTTTTCTCACCAGTAAAAAGCCTACTTATCTGCTTCATGACTAAATCATTCCTCTGCTTTGTCCTATGTTGCTTTAAGGCTTAACAGCCTTAGCCAGAATGTACACCTAACCCTTCACTAAACAGCTTTAAATAGCCTGAGGGGTTTCTCTGATCACAAAGTCAGTCTTCTCTCTCCTGAGAAACAGAACTTTTGTTAGTTAAATGTGCAGCAAAAACTTCCTATTTAATGCTTTTTCTTTACTCTGTATATGAATTGTTGTTTTTGAAGATGTACATAAAAAAAGATTTGCAGACTAATAGTAATACCACCATTACAAGATTGGATAATTGGTGGAGGATGGGGGAGACATAGTTGATAAGGATTTTTCTATGCACTAACAGAGTTAGGAAATTTCACAAGTGACTAAATGAAAGGATAATAATTATGAAAGTCTCCTTTTGTCCAAATATCTCAAAGAATCTATTTTTCAGATCCTGCATTGCAGGACTAAGGATTTATTTATAGACATTGTAATCTGTACCTAGAAGTTCACGTTTATTTAAACTGAGATTGTACATACTTAACTACTATTAGGTGTAGTGTAGTGTCAAAAGCATCCACTTACTCGGCCTAAGAGTGAGTTTGATTCTGCATGCTCTTACTTATCTCTTACTTATCTCTTGCATTCTTGACCACAAATTAGAAATTGTAATTTGCTTCCTGATTACAACCTATTACAATGAGGGCTCAATTAGATCATGAACTTGAAGATGGGTGAGATGGCTAGCTTATGACCGGAAAGTCAATATGGAAGGCATGAGAAAGAGAAGAGGGCTGAATATCACGAGAATGGGTGCATCAGCAAGAGACAGAAATCCTGTCAGGCAGTAGATGGCAATAGTGAAGATTATTAGTAGGTAAAGAGATTCAGCTTTAGGAACTGAGAGTAGGGGCTTCTGAGCTTCCAGAGGCTGGAAGACTTACAAGTTCAGAGCAAGAGATCACCATCATTCCTTCAAATATTGATTGAATCTAGGTGCCATTCTGAATGTTTAGGATTCAGCAGTAACATTGTTAAAATCTCTACCTTCACTCACTTGACAGATTTTCAAGGAGAAGCACATTAACAGCAAAGAGGAACACAACAATTTCAGGTAGTTGTAATACTGTAAAGAAATTAAAACAAGGTAATAAAAGAAATAGGAAGTGACAGGGGACTGGGAGACAGATACTTGAGTCAGGGTCACCCAGGCTTACTTCTCTGAGGACATAGTGTGGACAGACTGAATGATCAAATGAAAGCAGTTATGGGCAGAGCTGTGAAAAAATAATGCCAGGCAAAGGAACCATCCCGTGTATAGGCCCTAAAGCAGAAACAAGCTTGAAAGGGTCAAGGGCAGAAGGAAGTCAATTTACCTAGCAGAGTGAGTATTGACTGGGGAGATGAGATCAGAAAAACAGGTAAAGAAAGGTCTTGATGATCCTTGCAGGTCATGGCAAGAAGTTCAGTTTTTTCTCACAGAAAAATGGGAAGGTTTGGGAAGGATTTTAAGAACAAGAGTAAGATGATGGAATTTACATTTCAAAGATAATTCTGGCTTTAGTGGTGAGAAGGCTCTGTAGAACCCCATTAGAAGTAGGGATGGGGGGAGGACATTGCAGAAGTCCAACTAGAATCAGAAAAAGGGTAAAGTACTAATACATTCAATGGCATAGGTGGACCTCAAAAACATGCGGAATGAAAGAACCAGATATAGACTACATAGGATATGATCCCATTTATATGTAATATCTAGAATAGGTAACTCAATAGAGACAAAAAATGATCAGCGGTTTCTAGGGGTCAGGGAGAGTGGGAATAACTACTAATAAATGGGCTGGGGAGGGTGTCCAACAGTGGTGAGAGTTGCACAATCTTATGAATATACTAAAAATGAGCCTAAAAGGTTAAATTTTATCTGTTAATTAAATATCAGGTTTTTTAAAAAGAAGGCTTCCACAGCAGATATGATGACGAATATTGCATTGGATGTTGGCAGTCTGCAATTTAACATAAGAAAAGTTCAATTATGTTTTGGCTTGAAATATACAGATTTTGCTATTCCTGGATGTTCTTGGTAACTATGAAATCCCTCTCTTGCACTTTGTAAAGGCATTTTTGTCTGCACCAATAACTATAGTCATTCACTATAACTATAAATTTTTAGGGCAAAAAATACTTCATAAAACCTAGTTGGAGATGTTAGTCTTTATAGTCAACTTGGTTTACTGCTAATTAGGAATAGCATCATTATCTAGAAATGGAAAGTGGACACTGGTAATCCTTTCCCTTTGAATGTTTCACAGGATTTCCATTTATTCATTCAGGAAGCACTTATTATGTCAGTATCAGTTTAAGATTTATAGAACAAAAAGCTGATTATTCTCTTTTATTTCCTTTAAGACCACCTACTCTCTATCATACATCTTCCCACTTTCCTGACATTTACCGTCTGTGTTCACACATGAAGAAATGTAGGAACACTGCCCTAATTTCAACTTGAAGTGAAAAGTTTTTGTTTAAGGTTAGTAATACTAAAGAATTAAAGCTCTGCTTAGTTATGGAAGTGAAAAGAAAACTGCTCCAATGCCTTAACTTAGCCTATGGTCTCAAAATAAGACTCGGTATGGAAGCCAACTGTGGAACTACAGAGGTCAAGTACAAGGTAGAAGGTCATTGTGCTGGTTACAGGAAATTACCATATAACTGGGGGTTAGTCTCTCCACAAACTTTTTTTTTTTGTCTTCTGAATTAAATTCCCACCTGAGAGCTGTTCGCCTTCTCCTTGAACACTAGTTTTATAGTCACTCCAATACTCTTAATTATTCCTTTTCCATTTGTCTCTCCAAACTGTGTAGATATCAACCTCTCTGTTTCCAGGAAAACCTCTTGACTCAGAGGACTTTTGGATGAACTACACCATAGTGGAAATATTCTTCTAAGAAAAGGCAACAAAAGAACAATGAGTACTAAAAAAACATGACCCAAAGACTGAATATATTTAGTTTCTTAAGACATTCAGTTGTAGAAAAATAAACTTGCGGTCCCTCCCTGGTGGCACAGCGAGTTAAAGCACAGCACTGAGAAGCTAAAGCCACTTCCGCATGAGTTCAATTCCCGCCTGCCTCGAGGAGACCACATGGCGTGGCAGACCTCTCCTGACCCGCCCACTGCTCCCCTCAGCAGTGTACTTTGTCGATCTGCCTGTTCTGCTACCCGCTCTGTCTCTGGTGAAGCCTCTCACCGCCCCTGAGCCTCTGGCCTGTACCCCAGTTCTGTATGCACAAATAAATAAATGTAAAAAAAATTTTTTTTAAAAAAGAAAAATAAACTTGCTCTGAAAGTGACATAACCTCTCACAAAGTTGTAAGAAGGGCAACTTTGCAGAGGGAAACTTGTTTTCTTGAACTGTTTGATAAAACTAATGCAATTTAAGAAATAAGAGACATTATTAAATAAGAGACATTATTAAAAGTCCTTCCCTTTGAGGTTGTTTTCAGGTTCATGCAATACATATAGTGACTGTGATGTGGGCTGATGGTAGATGTAAAATGTGTATGCCCAAGAGACATTCTTGGTAATGTTTTTTGCAGAAGTTGCTAGGTCTCATCTCTTCAGTCCTTTGGGGTCAGGAGGAGCTGTGGTTTGGAGACACGGTCAATGAATTCTCCAGGCACGCTCCAGGGAATGTTGAGAGGCAATTCGAAAGTCGCACAGATCCTTTAGAGATGAATTCTTTTTGAGAAAAGTAGTAAGAAATTTTTTAAAAACAAAGTCAATATTTTTTTGCAGCTACACTGTGGCCACAAGATTAGATGTAACTGTGTGAAGTAAAACCATGATAGAAAAGCTGCACTGTTGTGCCTTCTCTGGTGGTGAAAGGGGTTAAAGCACAGAACTATGAAGCTGTCACTATGAAGCTATCCACAGCCACTACAGCAGGAGTTCAATCCCCAGCCTGGAGGTGACCCACACGGCACAGCAGACATCTCCTGTCTCACCAGCTTCTCCCCTCAGTGGTGTATTTGGGTCTATCTGGCTGTTCTGCTCCCCACTGTCTCTGGTGAATCCTCTCATCCCCTGTACCTCTAGTTTGTACCAGGTTCTTGTATGCATAAGTAAACAAATCTTTAAAAAAAAACAAAACAAAACTGCACTGTTGTTGCTAACTTGAAACATGATATTGAAACTATTCCAATTTATTGAAGAAAGAATCCTTTCTTTGTTCTTTAAATCACAAAATATTAGTTCATACTAACAAAAAATTATTATAATTTCTTGACATATTTGCAAAACTCTTTGGGCACAACTAGCAGAAAATGAGTTATACCATATATATGGGGTTTTATAAAAATGGAACCTATAGCGATACCTATAAAAAGGCAAGGAAAGTTAGAGTAATTTTAATTATTTTACAAAGTTCATTTTTAACCTTTTTTATTGGTAGGCTGATTTGCAACCTATTTTAAAATGAATCAAAACATTGTATTTTCTAAAGATACCTGGTTGGTATTTACCAAAAAGTACATAATTTTCTTACAAAGATATACTCAAAATAAAAGAATATTATTGTATTTGGTGAAAGATAATTGAAAGAAATGGAGAGAAAATAATTGGTTTAATTTGATCTTTAAAAATGCTAAATATTCAGAAACCCATAGGTATCACAGTTGAGATGAAAAAAAAATGTACAAAATGATGTAAAAAAAACTATTATATTATAAAAAAAACTAAATATTCAAAAAAGACTAAGTTTCTGATTATAAAAAAGTGACATTTCAGCTAGTGACATAAAAGGAGTAATCAGTACTTCTTTTATCTCTAGTGTCTCTAAAAATTTTAGCTCTGATTTTTAAGTGGATTATAAGATATGAAATGCTGAAAATTGTATAGGTATGCATGACATGTTGCTCTAAATTAAATACTAGCTGACATTATTTAAAGAAATTTACAAGAAGAATAAAATTAGCCAGTGGTGAGTAGATTATTTTCTTTGTTTCAATCTTCTTTCTCAATAAAATTAATCACTGGTCCTTTTTCTATGTTTTCACCCATTAGTATGATTTTGGGTGAAAGCTGCTTTCAATCTAAGATTCATTCTTATTTTTACAGTTTTTTTTAAAGATTTATTTATTTTATGCATACAGAACTGGAGTACAGGCCAGAGGTGCAGGGGTGGTGAGAGGATTCACCAGAGACAGAGCGGGGAGCAGAACAGGCCGACTGATGAAGTACACTGCTGAGGGGAGCAGCGGGCGGGTCAGGAGAGGTCTGCCGTGCCACGTGGGTCACCTCCAGGGCAGGCGGAAATCAAACTCATGCTGATGTGGCTTTAGTTACTTAGTGCTGTGCTTTAACCCACTGTGCCACCAGGGAGGGCCACTATTTTTACAGTTTTTAAATAGTTTAATAGGAAAAAACAGATATAGACAATATATTTATTTCTTAGAGAAAAATTAATAAGTTAAACCTTTACTGAGTAGGTTTCCAAGCAGATAGTCCCTGGCTTCTTGTCATGATATCCATATTTAATGTGTATTCATTCAACTGCCAATAATTGATTGATTTGTGGCAATTGTAGTTGATCAATCAAAATGAACTTGAACTTCTTTTTCTCATCCTCTGTACTGTTATCCTCTTTAAACACATAACTAAAAATTGCCTCCAACGACTATCTTACCCCAACACATCATTATTACCTTATCTCAAAATACAGACCTTCAGGATTACCAAGTTAATTCTAATTGAGTAGGACATTCAAAGCAGATAATATGTCACCTTATTGATGATACCTTCCTTCCCTGATTACTTGATAATAAACAGTACCTGTCTACTCAGCACCTCCAATCTGCTTTACAAAGCTTTATTTTTTCTCTTTAGTGTGTATTACCTCCTGGTACACCACACTAGATCCTTTATCTATATTGTGTTGGTTTGTTTACTTTTTGCCTATATTTACTAGAATAAGAGCTCTGTGTCAGGTTTTTAATCTCTTGCCATTTTAAAAATACTTTACATTGATATTTGTATTGTTCTATTATCTCATGTTTTGGTGTTGTTAAAAATGGTTGGCACATAGTGGTCACCAAAAATACATATAAATGAATAAGGAAAGAATGTTATTATCAAAAAATTTATAATAATATATGACCTTTAAGCATATGTCTGCTGTATAAATGGTCTTGCATTCTTAAACTGCTTTAGTAGAAGAAACTATCTTTCACTGTATAAAAACATTGCTTAGAATACGCATGGGTTCTAGTTCCTTTTCTTTCTAGTCAGCTTGTGAGACTGTAGAAACTGAAATCAATGAGTCAATAAGATTATGCAGAAAATAAAAGTAAATATAGAAATATTGTTATATAAAACTTTCAAGACCTAGACCTACCAGTTCTTCAGGAGGGCAGAAGAAGGAGAGGAACAGATTACTACAATGTTCTTTTACCAACCACACTTCTCAGTAAGCACTGTCTTGTCAGTTTGTGACTGTGCAAGGACATGCCACACAGTGAGCACACAATCCAAGTGTCAGAAATATTTTAAACTTAATTGGAATAATTAGATTCACAAGAACTTGTCAAAAAATATACCGAAAGTTCTTAAATGCCCTTCTCTTAATTTGAGTCAGAGGTAACATCTTGCACACCTATTATATTGTATCAAAGTCAGAAGAATAACATAATTTATACAGCTTTTTCACATTCTACCAGTTATTTTTTTTAAGATTGATTTATTTATGCATACAGATCTGGGGTATAGGCCAGAGGTTTGGGGGATGAGAGGATTCACCAATAATAGAATGGGGAGCAGAACAGGCAGACTGAGTGAAATACACTGCTGAGGGGAGTAGTGGATGAGACAGGAGAAGTCTGCTGCACCTTGTGGGTCAGCTGCCTGGCCTGAGATCAAATTCATGCTGCAGTGGCTGCAGATAGCTTCACAGTGCTGTGCTTTAAACCCATTGTGCCACCAAGGAAGGCCCCAGATTCTACCAGCTTTACATGTTCTGGTGTGCATGTGTTTCTGCGTAATTTTATCAGCCATGTAGATTCTTGTAACTCCCACCACAACCAAGACACAGAACACCACCTCCACAAGGGTCACGTAGGCTGCTCTTGTAGGCATGCCCGCTCCCTGCCCCTCTCCCCTAACCCTAGCAGCCATTTTTTTTCACTCTAATTTGGCTATTTTAAGAATATTATATGAATGGAACCCTATAGTGTGTTATCTTGGAAGAATTTTTTTCTCTCATCATAATTCTCTTCAGATCTATCCAAGTTGTGTGTGCCAAGTTCCTTTTTATTACATTCCATTTAACTCAAATCCATGAGAGCATCAGTTTTTTTTTTTTTGATATTATGAATAAAAACACTATGAAGTTGAATGTTTAGGTTTTTGTGTTTACACATTTTCATTTCCCTGAAATAAATGTCAAAGCATGCAATTTCTGGATCATATGATGAGTGCTTATTGGATTTTATGAGATTAATAAACTTTTCTATTAAGAGTGGCTACACCCTACTACTTTCCCATCAACAATGAGTTTCTCTTTATTCCATCCAGAATTTACTATTATAATATTTTTTATTTTGGCCATTCTGATATCCATATTCTATATATTATTGTGGGTTTAGCTGCATTCCTCCAGAGTTCTTGAGATGCTCCATCTTTCATTTGCTTATTTGCCATCTGTGTGTCTTTGCCAGTGAAATGTATGTTCATGTCTTTTATTCATTTCCTTTAAAAAAAATTATTTATACAGAAAAGAACCGGGATGAGGGCCAGAGATCTAGATGTGAGAGGATTCACCAGAGGCAGAATTGGGAGCAGAGCAGGCAGCCTGACAACATACACTGCTGAGGAGGGCAGCCCTTGAGACAGGAGAGGTCTGCTGTGCCAGGTGGGTCACCTCCCTGCCCCGGCTAGAATTCAGGTTGC